ACAGACACAGTAAATTTCGTAAATAATTTTTTTTAGGTAGACGTATGTATTTGTCAGTACCCTGTAACAGGGACTTCAGACAATGCGACCCGTGGTTGAAGCATGCTACACGGTGGTGAGGTGAATGACCGAGTACCTACTTGGCCGCATGCCTCATCCCTCTTAGTCTCATCCCCAATGTTCTGGACCCCTGTACAGTCCAAACCACTCCTCTTCCCACGCCATGCCCCTCTACAACAACTACAGAAGTTCCCGTTTTCTTGTTATAAGCAATTCTATACCTCACTCGCTTTACAAATAAACAGCCAAGTAAGATCCGACCCCAAAGGTAGGACCTATTCACAGTTTGGTCAATAAAAAACATACTTAGAATTGCATAACAGTCCTGCAGGATGAAAAAGATCTGTCAAGACCTGTTCCAGATGTGAGTTTCAGTTGAATTAAACGAAGTGAAGTTTCCTTTGTGCAAGATCATGACGCGGTAAAGTCGTATGTGAAACTGAGGTAGAGTTTCTCCAATTTGTAATCTTTGACACTTCAACGGTTATTCTAATGCTTTGATCGCGTTGCCTCTGAAACAGATATGGAAAGTTTCCCGGAGCCCCAAAGCTATTTTGAACTTGGCCGCGTGTCCTGCCGTGGCCTGTGAGAAATCGTTTTGGACTTTTTGAAATTGGCATCGAAACGTGAGGATAAAGACAGTAGACATCCATAGGTGTTTCTGTGTCTGTTATAAGAACTTCAGTTATTTTTTTAAACGACGCTTTGTGTAACTTAAATTATAAAGCGTCGAATACTTTCCTGGCATTTGTCTCAATAAATTAAGGAAAATAACGAAATATGAGTCAGTATAAGTCTCTGTATTGAGGTTTGAACCGGAAGCCTGAATATAAGCTGGTATACTAACCACTCGACTGCGACGATCGATACATTTTATAATTCACGTGCTGAGCACACAGTGTGAGTGGAATACGGAGGTGAGTGTGGTAATGTCATCTGGAATGCTTCTCTGTGTTATCTCGTAGAAATCGACCGGCGTTGATGAGGTAATCATCAGGGCGATGATGGAGACAGCACCTCTGAAACGTCGGAAAATTGCTATTAGACCATGAGGCACAATATACCCAGAACACAATCATGTTTAAGATTATGTAGGTCTGTCATTGCGTTGTGTAACGGTTATTAGCCATTCATTAGTTCCTGTGTTTTGAAATAACTAATAAATTGAGAAAAAAAATGTATTTCACTTTTTAGCACGCACTTTGTCCTGAAACGTTTTGATCGTAATCGGTTGCCGATAATATATTTAATTTTGTGCAAGAGTGTTTAATTTAAAAAGACTAAATGGAGCGAAAGAATTGTTCATGGATTGTCATTACTTACCCTTTTTGAGTTACTCTTAGTGTAAAGCACAAACTAATGTTATACAGTGTGTCCCATAAATCCAGGATTATATGAAAACTATGTTATTTGGGAAAAATACAGAAAAATGTTAAGAGGGGGAAATGTTGTTGAAAATCACGTTTTCCATCTCAAGTGTTGGAAAATTTTTTAACTAGCCGTTACGATGCTTCATCAACAATAGTAAAAAATTCCGGCCGCTTTGCCATGTTGACATGACAGTTTCCCATAATACCCGTCTCCTTCACTACCGTTTTCCCATGCGCTGGAAACACATTTCCCTGTCATTGCCATAAACCCCGACCAGAAGGAACAAAAATATTGACCTTATGACGTCAGGCAGCGTCGTTAAAGATGAATGCTGGCCTGGCTTTAATGTAGATCGAATCTAAATCACACTGAATTTAATGTCCACAATATCAGCCGAAGTTCGATTCCCATCAGGGCAAGCTAATTCCCTTCTTCACAGCACCCAGATACCGGCTCTGGGACTCACCCAGCTTCATATCCAATGGGTGCTGGGTACCTTCTTCGGGACTGGCCGAGGCGTGAAGCTATCCACTCATCTCTATCTAGTGCCGAAATTAAGAATACGTGGAGCTATACCTCCACTCCCCAACACGTCAGCATGGTGTTGATAGTTAATCACCAGGGACAACTTTACCTTCTCCGATTGCCTCTATAATATTTTATTCATTATCTCTCTGTGTTTTTAGGCCTCTAAAAGTAGTGCTGCACTAAATTAAGGCTAACACGACATTTACACTTACAAAACTGATACGCCAGCCCTTTAAATCAGAAGCTCGCCCAAATAATATTTAATAATTCAGTCCGTACCGCAAAGAAAACACCATTACATAAATCGCTATGTTAACGCTGTTAAAGGAAATACTCCGTTTACGCTGAGAATCATGTGAAACCCATAAAATTGCAGATTTATAACTGCTATATCAGGTGGGACGTATAGTTACCACCAGGCTTTAAAGGGATTTAATATTCAGAGAGAATTTTCTGAATTAGTTTGGTTATAAATAGACCACGTGTTCAAATTATTTTGATGCTTATTACCATATGTATTCCTTTTGGATTGTCTTCTTATATAAGAGAATATTGGATTTTTTCCCTGTATGGAAAGGGAATGAGGGACCCTTGGAAATATGGAGAGACAGACAAAGAGAAATATATTCATTAAAGCGCATGAAACTTATTACATATTCATGGCGAACAAGGGACTTGAGATTTGTCACGAATGAGAACACTTGTGTGACGTAAACTGAAGGGGTATATTTCTGTTCCCACTAATTATTTCAACAATCCATTTTGGGGAAACAAAGCTTTACCGACACAGCATTTGAATATTCAAAATAAAACTAATTGTAATTTTGTTGACAGAAATATACATATATTTTTATTCCTGTATTTTTCTCAAACTCGCCTTTTATAAATACGAAAACCGACTTGATAGGTGCTTTTGTAAACTAAAAGCAGATCTTTTTCTTAGACAGGATCAGCTGGAAGAAAAACATTTCGGTTAATTAGTAGGAGTTAATGTTTTTAGGACGGCATTTCATATGAAGTCTCGGATTGAAGTTCGCGTCAATTCTCCGCTCAGACAGACATTATTGTGTCGAGGCTGGGCACAGTGGTTAGATCAACCGAAAAAGAAAAAAATCAGTGATTAATTGTGAATAATAAAAAAGCAGTCTGTGGATGGCTCCCAAATGCGCAGACACCCTTGACAAAACAGGTGGAAATAATGTGGTACAAGAGAACGATTTGATATCAAAGAGAAAGCATTGTGACGCTGATTAACACGGCACAGTGGTTAGGCTTCGTTTATTCCCGTACATTGCATCTTTGTTGCTGCAACAATTCATACAGAGGTTTCCCAAAAATATATTTAACAGATTATAGCGAAATGGTAAGTATGTATACCACCTGCTTGAACGATAATAATTATTTATGGGCTTTGCATGATTCTCAGTGCAAAGAGCGATTATTTCCTTAAATTGTATTATTAACTGGTTGAGCTTTGTGATGCTGAAGTGTGTTTTCTTTGCGGTACGGACGGATATATTTAATATCATTTACTAAGAGCTTCAGATTGAAATTGTTTTAATCTGGTTTAAAAATCTCGTTGGAATTTAACGGGGTATTTTTATTTTATATTGTCTTCACGTGAAACAGATGAATGTTTACGAATTTGTTCTTGGTATTTACCTATAGACAAATTTGTGTTTTTGTTTATGATATTTAAGTTTGAGCCCAGTAAATAAAAGTTATCTGTATGCTATTATTATTATTATTATTATTATTATTATTATTATAAGCTGATATGTGCCATTCAATTATGATGCCCCATTGTATCCTTGTAGCTTCATGATGGCGTATTTTAACGCAATTTTGAAAATCAATAGTGATAAAGCATCTGTGTAGGAAATGCATTAAGCAGATTCTCAATTGTATGTGTTGCAGTCTGCCTAACATTATCAACCCCACGTAAATGGGAAAAGTATTTTTTTCTCATTTAAAAAATTCTGTGGAAATATGCATTTTAAAAAATTCGTACAAAAATAAAAAATGTGCAATTCTGTTAACGCAAAGTGTAGCGACTCCATTTTTCAATGCCTGAGTTGGTAGTAGATCTGTACAGTGAGGTTTTTAGTCAGCGCAACCGTGAAGCGGCGTTATGCGTTATGGGTCGGCATTGCTTGACGGGAGAGGCGCATTACTCTCCCGTCGGAGTCCGCGCTAGAGAAAGAAGACAAATCTTGTATTTACAAGAAGTAGAAGTGAAAACCAGTGAAATAATGCTGAAAATCCTGTATGCCCTGGAATTATATTGTGTTAATTTGCTTCATGATGAGATGATATTGTTGCGTCATATTGTGATGATTATAATTGTTTATTTTAACCGTCTAATCACAATAAAATATTTTATTAAATATTAAAATATCAAAATATTATTACTATAATTAACATTTAATATTTAAAATATTTA